GTGCAGCGGCATGGAGCACTGCGCCGCGTTGAGCACGAACAGCTCGCTCCAGGTGAGGCGGAGCAGGGACACCTGGTCGGTGATCTGCAGATCCGGGAAGAAGGGGATGTTGCGGGCCCACTCGACGGCGCTGAAGAGCAGGCGCGCGGCCAGCTCGCAGATGTTCTCGATGCCCATGATGTTGTTGGGCTGCATGCACTGGCTGCCATAGCGCGAGGTGGGGTAGGGCTCCGCGCGCAGCAGCAGAGAGATGTAGCCCGACAGGTAACAGTGGCCGTTGAGGGGGTCCCCGTTGGTGAGCGCGTACTGGCCTGGATTGGGTTGGGTTGGAGGCATTCTTCCTCGCTGAACCGCTGACAAAAAGAAAGAGAGAAAAGAGGCAATGTGCATCCAGGGGGCTTGCGGACATAGCCGCGCTGCAGAGCACCCGACACAATGCGGAGGCTCTTCCCACAGTCATACGCTCCCGGCGCGTTTCCTCTTGCGCTCGCTCTTACGGCCTGCACCAGCAGGAAACCTGGGGTGAGGCCCTCTTGCTCCGCCGGTCCATCGCCTGCGCACCTGGTCACCCCAGCCCCGCCAGAACTAGGCCTGACTTCAGGGCCCCCAGACCCCGCAAGCCCAAGAAAGTCCCACCCAACCCCTCTACCACCAAGGAGTAGCACGCAGATCAATGAAATCCCACTCACCCCCTCCAGAGTGAAACAAATCAGTGTAGAAAACAAACAGGAGGAACCAGAGAAAGGTTGTGGTTCTAGGCAAATGCCTAGCTGCCTCTTCATTTGCAAGCAAGCAACATTTTGCTCAAAATGCTCTCATATTCTCTAAAAATGCCATAGAATTACCCTTAAAATAGATACAAGTTACATATGCTACTAATCACTTACAACTTTTCAATAGAAAACAAGTATCCTGCTTCCCTCCCCTCTCCTCTCCTCCCCATCGCCCCACACAAAGTTCTCGCTGTTAAAAGCAACAGAAAATTGAAAAATTTCAAAAAAAAGTTGAACTTACAGTAGCCAAACATTATGGAAAAAAGTAGGAAATATAATTAATGTCTGTCCTGCGTGGTGCCACTGCAACCTGCAGCCAGCTTTTGCCCAGTGAATGCACGAGCTTGCAACTGCAAAAACACTGGATTCATTAACCATCTGAATGCAAAACGTAAGCATGCTTTGAGTTCTTAAAGCTGACCAAAGTTTTTTTTTTTTAATGTGTATGTTTTACTTCAACAGTGCCAGCGTTTTAAATTGCCGTGTAAACAAAGACAACTCTAGGAAAAGTTAGGGCTACTGAACTCTCCCCCCCAACAAATTAATGTAGATATGTCCATGTACACGTAGCTGTCTTATTTCAGGTTGTGCACTGTTTTCTTAAGTTTGCTTTGATTCCATTTTTAATGCAAGTCCCAATGCAATTTCAGCTCTTGAAACATAATGGCTAGAATACTTTTTTCTAATTATAGTTTTGAACTTGGCAGTTATTTTTCAATTAAATGACAGCACAATTCAAAGTTGTTGTTTTTTCTCCCCCCTCCCCCCAGATGCCTACAAAATCTTCCTGGAGCTAGAAATGAAGTCGTCATATTTGCCTGCTCTTTGAGATCTGAAGGAATTCAATTTCTTTTCCTGTGGCATATAAAATATAATTTTAAAGTCAATTACAAGAAGGAGTAATCTGCATTCTGCAAAATTGACTGGTTCGCTAATTTGACTATAAGACATCTTTAATGATTGTCAGGAGATAAACTTTAACTGTAAATGGCTAAATATATTTATAAGAAAAGTGCTGCATCTCTTGCCACATGAACATGAAGCATATCTAAATACAACATCAAAAGTTGCGTTAAAAGAAACCAAAGCCATACAACACAGGGATTAAATGATGTGGAAGCTCATGCCAGCTGCAGTGTATCTATGCATTATAGCCAAATCAGAAGGTTCGGTAAATGCCGTTGTAAATTGTAATTTGTATGCAGTATTTAAGCAGAGGGTGGAGTTTGATGAAGAAATAAAATGAGTATCATGCTTTTTTTTTTTAAAAAAATGACACAACTATGAAAGCACGGCTCAGTCACAAACTTTCCTTTCAAAGTAGAGGGGTGAAAACAAGGCCACAGCTCCGGAGGAGGCGGCCCAGCTCCATGAAGAGGAGAGGGGACCAGTGATCAGGCCAGAAGCCCCCCCTCCCCTAATTAGACCTACAAGTGCAATAAATCTCACTCCTCTTTTTCCATGCTAAGCTTCCAAAAGGATGATGCAGCAATGAATCTACTCAGGGTACTCCAGTCCCCAACCCTCCCCCATTTCAAATAAAGGGAAGGAAAAGATGGAGGGGAAAGTGAGATGCAAAAACACAGACACAGAGTTTTCTGGGGGAAGTAAGCACCCTCCCCAAGTTCATGCCAGCACAGCGCAAGCATCCTCACGCACACGCGGGAAAGAGACACACATCGAGCACATCCAAGACAGAGGAAGAAGGGGATTTTAAGCCACAGCTCACGATCCAGGGACACAATCCCGAGCAGGCAGCGAGAGGGATGGAGGAGCCAGGGAGACGAGCGCA